CGACTACGTGCATGCCCCACAGAATAGCCTTCCCAGACACCCTGCAAGAATTTAAACCATGAGACAATCCATACTACTAGAGGTTCCATACCAAAAGTGAAATGCTGCCCCAAGGTTGTTCATATCAGTTGATGCACAAGTTTTAAACAGGCGAACTAATGTAAACAAGAAGCTACGGAGCGTACACTTCGGCGTCGTGGTTGTGGAACTGATTAATTGTAAATGCGGAGGAATAGTAGGAAATGAAATATGGTAAGAGTAAGGTGTTAATTTGTGAAATTATGGGATTTGTCAGGATATTCTGAAAAGAGCAACATCCAAGAGGCCTCCTTGCCAAAAACTAGCACTTCGGGACAAATTGTCTCTGAGATGTTAGCCCACTTATGCTCTGATGACTCCATACAAATCCTTCTAAATTTGACTTGGGTCTAAACGTTTAGACCTAAGTCAAATATGAGGTTACTGGCGAAAAATAACAAGTCTAACGAAACAAACAGTGAAAAAACAATTGTTTTTTTCTTAGTCACATCAGGCTTCAAAAACAGCATAGCAGTCTCACTGATTAAAAATATGTAAGGCATGGGTAAGGAGTCAATTACGTTGAGCCTGCATGGCTCATGTTACAAGTTCGAATGTTTTGAGGACTGACTATCAGCACACAGGGATGTCGGATTAACACACGGAAGTTTAATACCAAAGGAACATAGCCTTTACCACAGAGCTTTAAACACAGCATCCGCCAACACAAACTTGACTTGAACTTAAGTAAAACTAAACAGCCTCTATTAATAATAACAAACTCTCACTTGAACTTCAGGTATCTTATGGCTTCCGCCAACTTGTAAACACAGAACTTGAAAATCGGCCTTTGTCGCACTTGACTAAACACAGCAGTCCAGCTCATGTGAAAAAATTTAATTCGTCAAAAGAACTCGCTTGGAACTTGAATGTATACCTTTTGACATAAGGTTCTAGAAAATACTAAACAGGCGAATAGTAGTAGCTTTTCAACATATTTTATGATTTCAGTAACTGATGCAAATCTGCTGACTCATGCTGAAATGTAAACATGCCCTAATTAATTATTCATTAATAATCCAAAAACGAAGAGAACGTTGGAGAAAGTCATGCAACGCATGAAAGCAACTTTAGTAACACTCAACAAAGACAAAATATCTTTGCGCTGCATTTTGTAACTTTAAATTCATCATAAAACAGTTCGAAAGGAGGGCTCACTCATGAAATGTTTTTCAACACTCAAAGAGAAATTTCGTGTCTCTGTGCAGCCACGTAATATCCTCTAAGTTCTTCCTCTAGTAAATTACAGACTAAACTCGAACTGATCTCAAGATATCACGAAGTAGTCTGGTCTCATTTCATGAAATAGCAGAAACAAGCCAAAAAGTCACGAACTTGCACGCCCAATCTTGTCCCGAAACTAGTGCATCATTATTTCATAACTATTTTTCATATCCCAAACTACCTTGGGTCGCAGTAGCGCAATTGGCTAATCCCTCAACTTAGAGTCTCCTCTGATCTGATGGGTCACACAGGTGAGTCGGTTAAAACCCCGCGAAAGCCAAAATAATAATTCTTTCTTCCTCGAAAAAGTTAAAGAATAAATCAAAGAAATAGAAGTTATCTTGAGATGTCTCAAACTAATTCAGCTCTCACTTCGTGTCCCCCGTCGACTTCGACTTTGCGTGCCCAATCTTGTCAAAAAAAGTCAACTTTGATACATTCCTGAACGTCGCGAATCCTTTACTTCGCGCTCTGTTGAAGTAATCAACACAAACAAATGCAAACAATGAATGCTGAAGATTTTAGTCTATCAATGAGCATTTAAAGCTGTTACGAAAAATTGTATTGCATGACTAGCGTGACTTTCTAGAAGCTTCGCGAGAGTTCATAGCTTGTTTATTTTAGGATCTTGTGTAAGCCTTTCTAAAAGCGGTATATTTTGTAATCTTTCTATAATTAGACTATTTAGAAAGTTCTAGAATCTTATTGTAAAAGTATATAAGTAGGCGAGTCCGAGTTAAGTTTTAACTAGTTTTCACAAGCGAAGAGAGTTCGACGTTAGTCGTGTTTACTCAAGTGTGACGGAAGCGGTGTTTATTCAAGTTGGCGGAGGCCGTGTAAGTTGATCAAGTTTATTTAAGTTGGCGGAGGCCGTGTAAGTTTAACGAGTTAAGTGCTGTTGTGGAGTTTTACTCAGTGGAAGCTACGTTCATTTTTGGAATAAATCTTCTTGTTCCTGTTCCGACAACCCTGTGTTCAGTTTGGTTTGCAAGCTACCCGTCCTCTAAAAGATTACCCGCGTAACATTGGGGGCCTGTCCGGAAGAGGAATTCAATTGTTTGCTGACTACAGTAACCAGGAAGGACAGTTCAAGAAAAAGGAGTATACGGAGAAGTAAGAAGAACTGCTACGAGGAAGTATATCGGGTGTGTTTGCTGTGAACTACTGCTATGGAAATGGAAAAGCTTTTTGACTGGAG